ATATATATATATATATATATATATATATATATATATATATATATATATATATATATATATATATAGTCAGTGACCACTGTTTTATGGTCAGTAATTGTTTTTTACTTCTAAATCATCAATGACCACTATCGAGTGGTCACTAATTGTTTTTTCCCCATTTAAGTAGTTTTCCATAACAGAAGTGTAGTCGGGCGATTTTGAATAAGAGGAGTCAGTGACCACTATTTTTTATCACTAAACCTCCAATACAGTGATCACTTTTTTGTCATAAAGCTTCTAACATAATGACCATTATTTTTAGTCACAAAGCTTCTAATACAATGACCATTATTTTTGGTCACTAAATAGTTGTTATGATATGAAACAAAAGTAATTTAATTATTTTGCAGTTTAGTGACTGAGTTAGTGACCACCACATAGAATTGATCATTAAATTTGTACATAGAATTGGTCATTAAATTTGTAGGATTACCAAAATTCAGTGACCACTTAATTTCTGGTGACTAAAACATGCTTTCAGTGACCAAATTCTAGGTCGTCACTAAAAATTAATCACTAATAAGTACTTTTTTTTTGTTATACTTGTACACATAAATTATATAGGATTAAAATAGAACCAAGAATACGGTTTTATAATAGTACTCCATACAGGGGGAACCGTCTTCCCACTAGGTATATAATTAGTCGAGTAGGGTTTTACTTGATTGGTGTGTATTAATGTACACATTTGCAGTTGTGATAAACTTTTTATACACAAGTAAAAGCCTTATAAAGAATCCAGATGAACCAGTAGATTTAATTAAGAATCATGAAAAGACTGCACACAAACCATGCAAAATGTTGTAACTTAACTTCAAACATTGCGATGTATTAAATTCGACAACCAAAGATTTACATGAACTTTACAGCCCTACATATATTCTTTGGCTTTGAAAAACCAAAAAGTGCATGATGATAATATCCACAGTAGCAGCATAACAACGTACGTACATGATTCAATTATAACACAACTATATAATTAGGTTAAAAAAAACCAAGCATATGTCAAATTCCTCAATATCCCAAAGTGATTACTTTTTGCCTGCTTTTCAACGAGACATCCCTCCAGGAACTGTAGGTGGTACCATGACTCCACCGCTTTGTTGTATTTCGGGAGATTGATTACGCCACCCAACTCCTGAAAAAAATTTGGTGCAGAAATGAATCGACATAATTAACAAGAAAATGTTCGAAAGAAGACAAATTCAGATATAAATGTTACCTAGTTGCATGTTGAAACCATGAGCCTGAAGTTCACGATATTCTTGACACAAGGCGCATGGTTCACATATGAGATGAACAAGAATGTTTATGATAGGGTCATTAGGCAAATTGTAAATTTGTGTCATCTTGATCCTATAGTAAGCCGACAACAGACATCCGCATCCCGTCAAGTACATTATCCCAGCATAGAGCGCAGCGTATACAAAGCAAGCTTTTACAGAAATTAAAAACGTTATCATTTAAGAAAAGTATTAAACTTTGATTGTTTTCAAGTATTTCTTGAAATGAAAACTTACTCTGTTGTCCCCTATCTATCATTTCTGCGATTTGTCCATAAGTAACACAAGGGGCGAAAGCAGTTATAACCACTGTTGAAAAAAGTACATCAGTTTGTGATCTAATGAAGAAGCTACAAAACATGAAAATGTGTATGTTGAGGTGATCATATGATTAGACTTACGAGTTGGGAGATCATCAAAACATTCAAAAAGGCCGGTGGACCAAGTAGGGATCTCGCCTTGTTGGGGTGGAACCCCAACCACATACTGACCCGATTGTTGTGGTGCACCTGCACCTTTGCTGGAATCTGAGTCAGATGCGAGTGGGGGATTTGTGGCCGGTTGGGAGTCGGCTGGTAGAGCCATGGGAGCTTGACCAGTTGTAGTTTGAGGAGCCTTCTCCTTTTCGTTTGGGACTGAGGAATTCATCTCAAACCTGATTATCCAATAGACTCAATTATCCAGACACAAGGGATGGATTGGATAATCGAGTCTAATCACCCTGAGAATTGGTTTGCGATTAGTGCAATGAATGTATCTATTTATATGATTCTCATGGATGATTTTAGCCATTGCTATTCATGCATTGATACGAAAATTGTTGCATGTTAATAGGGTTCAATAAAAGAAATCAGTGGTGGAGACTGGCTGATGTTGTAAATGGACCAGAATTTATACCATTTTCGGTTATCAAATTACAATTTCTGATAATATTCCACAATCTTTTATTTATCTTCAAAAATTAACAATCAACATATGGCAAACATTTGTCGTTAGTCGATGGATCCAAATCTGATTGGATCGAACGGTTTTAATTCTCTTCATTATTTGATCATATATCACTATAAAACTAAGTGGGAGAACTGTGTATTACACGAGTTTTTTAAAGAACAAAATTAATATATATTGGTGAGCATTACATGTTTTTTAGTAATAATTTTACATAAAGACAAGAATCTATAATGAATAGATTACATATTTTAATATATAAACAAATAAAATAAAAACATACGTATTTATAAAATGACGATGACAAAAAATATACTTCCTATTATACGCTTTTCATATCATTATAACATTTTTTTATCATTTTTATGTCGTGTAAACCACAAAAAGGAAAAAATGGTCAAAATGACCAAATTTACCACAACGGCAACAATTGTCAATATCACCAAAAAAGATTAATTGTTGTTGTGCTATGAAGTTCTAAGGTATTGTACTTATACGACTCGACCATTCATAGCATTCTACTTACATTAGATTCAAAGTTTTAACAACATAAATTAGTTTGAAAGTTTTAGACCTCATATATAAGTTTTTGATGAATGATGTGTTTAATGGCCTTATTATTGCATTCTTTTGACGCGGGATGAGATTAATCAGACAAAGAATTGGAAACATTCATTCCAATTGACAAAACTACCCTTGTGGTTGATGTTGTTAATACTACGCAATATTTGTTGAAGGTCATCACTAGCCTAATGGAGCTTAAGAGAGTTTACCCCTTTATAAAAAAAATGTTATAATGTCTAGAATGATCAAGAAGATTCTAGAACATAGTGGAAGCCTATGGAATATTCTAGAACATACAAGAAGACTCAAGAATATTATAGAATGAGATGGAAGACCCTAGAATGTTATGGAACATTCTAGAAGACAGTGGAAGACACAAGAACATCATAGACTAATCTAGGACATTATAGAACATTCTAGAAACATATAAGCATGTAATAGATATAGATTACGGTAGAAGATTCTAGAATAGTCATGAATGTATGTAACTTGTAGGAAGATCTAGAAACTTCTTATAAGGAGGTGGAAACACCTATAAATAGGTGTGGAGCTCATTTG